GGCAGGAGGCGGTCTCGTAAGTACCCTGGTCCTGAGCCATGGAGCGCTCTAAAGATAGTAACCAAAACCTTGAACCTTTAAATTAAATTAAATTAAATGATTAATTACATTTTTAAAGGCCGGATATAAAGGTGTGGAGGGGGTCCGACCCAGTTAGGGCTACTTTTCACCCCCCAAAATGTCTTTTGACAGCAGCTGAGCACAATAAACCGTGTTGGCCTCTTGCCTTCCAGACTTTCTTGTGTTCCATCACGTTAAGAAGAGATTTTGGCAAGCTTTTGGTCTGAAATGTTAACGGGGTTGGACTAGAAGACCTCGGAGGTCCCAATTCTTGGTTATTCTGAAAGTCCCCGGCTTACAACCGTTCGTTTAGTCATGTTTGAGGCGAACGGTGAAACAGGGCCATTTCTCACGCTTACTACAACCGTTGCAGCGTCCTCATTGGGCCGCAGCGATCCGAATTAGGGCGCTGCCGGGCATCTGGACCTCTATTTACGACAGCTGCGGTGTCCCCCGGGGATCAGGTAAAAATCGCTTTTTTGCCACCTTTTGACAATGGATTTGCTTAACAACCGTGTGACTAGCTGAACAACAGCAGCGATTCGCTTAAGCGTGGCAAGAAAAGGCCGTAACATGGGGCAAAACTCACTTAACAGCCGTCTTGTTTACCAATGGAAATGTTGGACTGGATTGCGGTCGTAAATCGAGGACTACCTATATTCTCTTAAATGTTGCCTGTGTCCTTTTTTTGCCACCTAATGATGCCCCAACCACTTCTACCCGCAGGCCCTTTTGTGACCCATCATCATTGGGTCCGCCGACTTCTGTCCCAAGACCTAGTAAAAGCTTTCGTAAACCCTGAATGTGTGGCTGTCATCCTTCAGCGTCTGTCCCGGGACCTAGAGTGGACCTTAACTCCATGCCTCACAAGTTTTTACCTGGTGTCTTCTTCTCTTGATGGGTCCAGCCTGCATCGGTGGTGGGAACCCAAGATAATCTGGCCCGGGATTTAGAGATGAGACCTTTAAAGCCGCTTTATAAAAAAACAAATTTTACCATGGTGGAAAAGTGGGAGGGAGAGCCAAAGGCGATTGAAATATTGATATGCTATAAGATAAAGGTAAAGGTTCCCCTCGCACATATGTGGTAGTCGTTCCCGACTCTAGGGGGCAGTGCTCATCTCCAAAGCCGAAGAGCCAGCGCTGTCCGAAGACGTCTCCGTGGTCATCGGCATGACTAAACGCCAAAGGCGCACGGAACGCTGTTCCCTTCCCACCAAAGGTGGTCCCTATTTTTCTACTTGCATTTTTTACGTGCTTTCGAACTGCTAGGTTGGCAGAAGCTGGGCCAAGTCACGGGAGCTCACCCCGTTACGCGGTACTAGGGATTCAAACCGCTGAACTGCCGACCTTTCGATCGACAAGCTCGGCGTCTTAGCCACTGAGCCACTGCGTAACTATATGATATATGATATGCTAGTATTAAATTCATGTTTACCTTTAGCTTGAAATAGATCTGTACTAGACTCCCTTTATTTCTTTGTCGGTAAAACATAAATTTAACACAAAAATAGTTTTGTCGCGAAAGCCACGGCCTGCGAAAGGCCCCCTGGATTGAGGCTTCGAAAGGCGAAAACTGAAGCAGTATTGCTCCGTCCCATAATTGGGTAGACTGGTCCCACCGGAGAAACAAACACTTAATTGATATGCTAGATTGCATAATTAAACAAATATATATATCAAGTCCATCCTGTGTCCTCCCTCAACATAAACAGTGAAGACAGCAGATGCAGATGGAAAAGGCTCAAACTGAAAGGAGTGCGGGATGTGGGTGTGAGTGGGTGTCTCTCTTCTCTCTTATGGTGGCTGTTGTCACTGCTGCCATCTGCTGTCACCAGAGGCATGGACTGCACAGTTGTGTAGGGGCTCTCTGTCCAGTTATTGGCCAGCTCCGCACAGGAAGGAAAAACCATCTTAACGGCAGATGTGCGAATATTTCATCCTGTTGTTTCCTTGTTTTCTTCGTTCCTCTCTTCATGCTTAAACCCCAGAAATGTTTTCGTGCTCAAAACCTTCTTGGGCAGAAGGTTTTATTTTGCTCGCTGCTGCCCGAATGTGCTGCGTTTACCCAGTGTGCTAACTCCTACAGGTGGTCCTCGACTTACAACAGTTCATTTAGTGACTCTTCAAAGTTATGACGCCACTGACCGTTTTTCACATTTACAGCCATTGCAGCTTCCCATCGTCACATGATCAAAATTCAGACACTCGGCCACTGGCATGTACTTATGACGGTTGCAGTGTCCTGGGGGGGGGCTCATGTGATCCCGTTTTGCGACCTTCTGACAAGCAAAGTCAATGAGGAATCCAGATTCACTTAACAACGGTGTTACGAACTGAACGGATGCAATGATTCACTTGATTCAACAACGGTGGCGAGAAAAAGTCGTAAAATAGGGCAAACTCGCTTAACGAATGTTTCACTTAGCAACATAAATTTTGGGGTCAATTGTGATCGTAAATCAAGGACAACCGGTAATTAAACAGCAGTTTTCTGACTGCACCCAACTACCTGGGTTTGCAAAATGCAGGTAGTCCTCGACTTACAGCCACAATTGAGCCCAAAATTTCCATTGCTAAGCGAGACAATTGTTAAGTGAGTTTTGTCCCATTTTATGACTTTCCTTGTTCTTAAGTGAATCACTGCATTTCTTCAGACATAGTCGCTAAGTGAATCTGGCTTCCCCGTTGACTTTACTTGTGAGAAGCTTGCAAAAGGGGAATCATGTAACCCCAGAACACTGCCACCGTCATAAATACATGCCAGTTGCCAAGGCTCTGGATTTTGATCATGGGGATGCTGCAGTGATGGTAAGTGTGAAAAATGGTAATGCCACTTATTTTTTTTAGTTCCGTTGTAACTTTAAACGGTCACTAAATGAATGGTTGTAAGTCGAGGATTACCTGTAGTATAAAAACAGCCTTGGTCACACTTCTCAGTGATTTTTGGTAGGGCGATTTGTTGGGTGTGTGTATGTGTATCCTTGTGTTCTTTGGTCTCTTAGAAATTATCAATGTAGATTCAATTATGGTATGTTTTGGGATCAGCTACAGTGGTGGCGAATGGGGCACACTATGCTACAGTGTTAGAATAGAATAGAATAACCGAGTTGGAAGGGACCTTGGAGGTCTTCTAGTCTAACCCCCTGCCCAGGCAGGAAACCCCACACTTTAGACCTCTGTCTTCAGTGATCAGTCATCATTCCTGTTTTACATCTGCATGAAACCCCTGGGTTAGGTCCTCCCCACCAGTTTGGAGTTCAGTAACATGAGTATGTGGACAACACCCAATTGTCCAGCTCAGGTTGCATGGTTTCAGCCTGCTGACCGAGAATTTGTGGTCAGCTTCGGTCTGGCTGTAGAAGAGGAGATATTAGCAGAGTTCTGACCAGGCTGTGGCTGTGGTTGTTTTGTAGTTGTGTCCCTCTTAGTTGAGAGGTTAGAAAGTTGTCAGCTGGAAAGTTGACAGTACAGGTTCCAGACTCGAGCACCGCATGATGGAGTGAGCTCCTGTTCCTGCCTCAGCTCCTGCCCACCAAGCAGTTCGAAAGCATGCAAATGTGAGTAGATAAATAGGTACCACTTCAGTGGGAAGGTAACAGTGTTCCTTGCGCCTCGGCGTATAGTCGTGCTGGCCACATGACCATGGAAAGTGTCTTCAGACAATACTGGCTCCCTCGACTAGGAAATGGAGATGAGCACCGCCCCTCAAAGTCTGACACCACTGGAAAGCAGCAATCTTTATTTTTGACCCTTGGTTCAGGGTTGAGGAACGATGGCCCTTTTGTGACTCGTGGACTTCAACTCCCAGAATTCCTGAGCCAGGGGTGGAGAACCTGGGCCTTTTGTGACTCGTGGACTTCAACTCCCAGAATTCCTGAGCCAGGGGTGGAGAACCTGGGCCTTTTATGACTTGTGGACTTCAACTCCCAGAATTCCTGAGCCAGGGTGGGGAATCTGGGCCTTTTGTGACTTGTGGACTTCAACTCCCAGAATTCCTGAGTCAGAGGTGGGGAACCTGGGCCTTTTATGACTTGTGGACTTCAACTCTCAGAATTCCTGAGCCAGGGTGGGGAACCTGGGCCTTTTATGACTTGTGGACTTCAACTCCCAGAATTCCTGAGTCAGAGGTGGGGAACCTGGGCCTTTTGTGACTTGTGGACTTCAACTCCCAGAATTCCTGAGCCAGGGTGGGGAACCTGGGCCTTTTATGACTTGTGGACTTCAACTCCCAGAATTCCTGAGCCAGGGTGGGGAACCTGGGCCTTTTATGACTTGTGGATTTCAACTCCCAGAATTCCTGAGCCAGGATGAGGAACCTGAGCCTTTTATGACTAGTGGACTTCAACTCCCAGAATTCCTGGGCCAGCATGGCTGGTTCAGGAATTCTGGGAGTTGAAGTCCATGAGTTATATAAGGGCCATTGTTCCCCACCTCTGCCTTAGTTGGAGACATTTTCACTGCTCGTCTTGCATGTAGTTGCAGGCCTCCTTCAAAACATGTGCAGCTGTGGCCAGCAGAACATTACACAGCTGATCCTGGCCACCAGGATCAATTTTCTCAATTCAGAAGCTCTTTCCTTCATCGGGCCTGCTTGTTTGAGAGACTGCCCATCTCCATTTGTTCTGCCCATCTGGAGTCAACATGGAGAATATTGTTGAAAGTCTTCCAAAGAGGAAATAGCTTTTCTGGGACATTAGCTAAAAGTCTTCTTGAGCTGAACACAACTTTTGGTTTACTTCCTGAATGCTTCCATGTGTTTTTCTTGGAAAGAGAGAGAAAGGGGCGTGCTATTGTTTTCTTTTTCATTTCCCAATTTAGCCTGAATCTCTGGTTCTTTTTTGGAGGTCTTCTATTCAAACACCGACCAGAATTTAGCTTCTAAGCCCTGTTAATGTTAGGAAAATGCTGTTGAGATTAGATTAGGCTTGGATATGACTAACCTAGTTATAATCCTGGTTTACTCAAGGTTGGGTTTGGTCACATCACCAATCTGATTCAGCCTGACATACGTCACAGTTACTTTTCTGAGGAGACATCAATATGAATTAAAAACTCATTATTGAAAAACATTTTATTTATTTATTTATTTATTTATTTATTTATTTATTTATTTATTTATTATTATTATTAAATTTTTATACCGCTCTTCTCCCGAAGGACTCAGGGCGGTGTACAGCCAAGATAAAAAACCAACAATATAAAAGTTAAAAACAATTTTAAATTATTAAATAGTTTGGCCAATAATCTAAAATAAAATAACCCATTAAAATAATATTTTAGGCCAGCCCTGCTTGATGGAATAATAATGTTTTAAGGGCGCGGCGAAAGGTACGAAGGTCGGGAATCCGACGAATCTCCGGGGGCAGCTCGTTTCAGAGGGCAGGTGCCCCCACAGAGAAGGCTCTCCCCCTGAGGGTCGCCAGTCGACACTGTCTAACCGACAGCACCCTGAGGAGACCCTCTCTGTGGGAGCGTACTGGTCGGTGGGAGGCTATCGGAGGCAGAAGGTGGTCTCATAAGTACCCAGTACCAACACCTTGAATCGCACCCGGAAGACCACCGGGAGCCAGTGCAGCTCGCGCAGGAACGGTGTTACATGGGAGCATCGAGTCGCCTCCATAATCACCTGTGTGGCCGCATTCTGGACCAGCTGGAGCCTCCAGGTGCTCTTCAAGAGGAGTAGAGCCCCATGTAATTCATGGTCAAATTACCGATAGAAAAAAAGCATTTGCAGTTCAGGCTTGAACTGTGGGGTCCCTGCTGATCTCTGAGTTTGATTGTTTTCTTGCAGACGTTTCATTACCCAACTAGGTAACATCATCAAATTGTAAAAGCAAAAGTAGTTTAACGAAGGCCTGACTTTCCTCTATAGCAGGGGTCAGCAATCTGCGGCTCTGGAGCCGCATGTGGCTCTTTCACCCCTCTGCCATAGCTCCCTGTCACTCAAAATATGCATCACAACCGCCAATGTGCGACACCCGCCAGCATGCTATTTATTGAGCTTTGTAAGCCAACTATGGATAAATCCAAGAAAAGAAAAGTTTCAGAAGAAAACAGAACATTTAATTCAACTCCATATGCTAGTTTTGTGGCTGCTCAAGAAATAGTCAGGCACAGGAAGGGTTTTGTGGCTCCCGGTGTTTTCTTTTCTGTGGGAAACAGGTCCAAATGGCTCTTTGAGTGTTTAAGATTGCAGGCTCCTGCTCTATAGGCATTACAGCCAGTGTTTTTATTGGGATTTTATTATGCAGCGCCTTGGTTCTGGAACTGATAATTTTAATTGTATTTTGCTTTATTTATGGGGAATGAACACATATAGACACACACGTTTGTCAGTTGCCTAGAGTTATGTATTAAAGATGCACAATGCTGTACATTTTCAAATTAAATAAATACTTGGATTGGAGACCACTTGGAATGGACAGTGTTATAGGTTAGTCTGCTAGACAGGCACTTTTCTGATCCCAATATTTTATCCCAATCAATTATTTTGTCTGATTATTCTTTTTCTTCTGACAAAAAGGGAGATAGGATAGGATAGGATAGGATAGGATAGGATAGGATAGGATAGGATAGGATAGGATAGGATAGGATAGAATAGAATAGAATAGAATAGAATAGAATAGAATAGAGGAGTTGGATGGGACCCTGGAGGTCTTCTAGTCCAACCCCCTGCTTAGGCAGGAAACCCTACACCACTTCAGACAAATGGTTATCCAACACCTTCTTAAAAACTTCCAGTGTTGGAACATTCACAACTTCTGGAGGCAAGTTGTTCCACTGATTAATTGTTCAATTTGATCTAAGGGCTTGATAATATATCTCCATTCTTTGTTGACTCTTTGCTGCTCTGGACTCTACAACTAGTTTGAGACTGATCGGTTTGATACCAGACTTATATTTTTTTGCAATTCTTCCCATGTTGTATTTATTATGGGTATTTTTCATTTGATCTTCCCTAGGCCTACAGAAGATGACGGAATACAAGCTTGTCGTTGTCGGGGCTGGTGGCGTAGGCAAGAGCGCCTTGACAATTCAGCTCATCCAGAACCATTTTGTAGACGAATACGATCCTACAATAGAGGTAAATAAGATCCTATCCAGAATGGTGTGGTGTCTTGTTTGGAAACCGCTTCTGCACTTTGTGCTGTCTGCTTGGAAACCACTCCTGGACTTTGTGCTCGAGGTGGAGAAAAAAAATGAAACTTTGATTTTGGGTTTTGCTGATTAGATAGGTTTGCGGTTATAGAAACGACTAGCATATTGTACGGGTAGCCCTAGACTTCCAACAGTTCATTTAGTGACTGCTCATAGTTACAACAGCACTGAAAAAAGTGACTTAGAATCATGTTTCACACGTAATGACCATTGCAGCATCCCCGTAGTCACATGATCAAAATTCAGATGCTTGGCAACTGACTCATATTTATGACGGATGCAGTGTCCCAGGGTCTCAATTTTTGCAACTTTCTGACAAGTAATGTCAGTGGGGAAGCCAGATTCACTTAACAATTTGTATAACTAACTTAACAACTGTAGTGATTCACTTAACAACTGTGGCATGAAATGTCGGGGCAAAACTCACTGAACAAATGTCTCGCTTACCAACAGAAAGTTTGGGCTCAGTTGCAGTCGTAAGTGGAGAACTACAGTATCATGCCAAAGTAAAAAGCTGAGGTTGTATGCTATTGGCTTATTCTGCTGCACTAAAAAAAAAGGGCAGAAGTCTTTTTTTTCCTTTTCCCTTTTCCCATACATTTTTTTCTTCCTCCTTTTTTCCTTCCCTACTTTCCCATTCTTTTCATTTTTGAGGGTGGAAGTTCGTTCTCCGAGCTTATGGGTTGGTTTCTGAATTTTTCGTTACCAGGCGAGGTAACATCTTCAGCAGCATTTATGAATTCCGAAATGTCAGTGTCGGTGTTCTCCTGCTTATAAATGCTTTGTGCGGTCAGTAGGTCTTGTACGGGTGTCAGCAACCTGCGGCTCCAGAGCTGCATGCGGCTCTTTGGACCCTCTGCTATGGCTCCCTGTCGGGTGATCCCACCACTGTCTGGCCTCGCCCTCCCCTCTCAGTCACTCCTCGCCTGGCCTGAGAAGGTAAGGGCGAGGGCGGGGGATGGAGAAGCGGCCAGGGCAGAGACAGAGAGATACAGAGAGAGAGGGGGGAGGGAGGGGGAGAGAGAAAGATGTCAAAAGGGTTTTGTGGTTCCTGGTGTTTTTTTAACAACCGGTTCTCTGCCCTAATGACCGGCTGGGTAGGCGTGGCTGGGGGGGGTCATATGACTGGTGGAAATGAGTGACATTGAGTTGGCCACACCCACCCAGGTTTTGTGGCTCCCGGTGTTTTCTTTTCTGTGGGAAACGGTTCCAAATGGCTCTTTGAGTGTTTCAGGTTGCAGACCCCTGTGTACGTCAGTAGGTCAGTAAGTCTTGTGATGGTGAGGTGACCTCCCTATTACAGGACCTACTGACCACATGAAGCCCTTCTAAGCAGAAGAATACGGACACTGACATCCCCTAAATTCTGAAGATGTTAGCCTGGCAACAACATCTTTTCTGCATCCAATTTTGGTCGCCACGATGTAAAAAAGATGTTGAGACTCTAGAAAGAGTGCAGAGAAGAGTAACAAAGATGATGAGGGGACTGGAGGCCAAAACATATGAAGAACAGTTACAGGAACTGGGCATGTCTAATTTAATGAAAAGAAGGATTAGGGGAGACATGATAGCAGGGTTCCAATATCTCAGGGGCTGCCACAAAGAAGAGGGGGTCAGGCTATTCTCCAAAGCACCTGAGGGCAGGACAAGAAGCAATGGGTGGAAACTAATCAAGGAGAGAAGCAACCTAGAACTAAGGAGAAATTTCCTGACAGTTAGAACAATTCATCAGTGGAACAACTTGCCTCCAGAAGTTGTGGGTGCTCCATCACTGGAAGTTTTTAAGAAGAGATTGGACAACCATTTGTCTGAAGTGGTGTAGGGTTTCCTGCCTAAGCAGGGGGTTGGACTAGAAGACCTCCAAGGTCCCTTCCGACTCTGTTATTTTCTGAACTCTGACTCTGTTACTTTATTCTAACTTTCGGAAATGAACCCACATGCTGAGAGAACCAACTTCCACCCTTATCTTCCACCCAAGCTAAAGATACTCGCCACTCTCGCATTTTCATTTTTCTTTGTATTTTCTTTTATTTATTTATTTTTATTTTGATTTATATGCCTCCCTTCTCCAGAGACTCAGGGCGGCTTACAAGGTGTTAAACAATAGCCATCATACTTTCGTATATTTTATACAAAGTCAGCTTATTGCCCCCACAAACCGGGTCCTCATTTTACCTACCTTGGAAAGGATGGAAGGCTGAGTCGACCTTGAGCCTGGTGAGAATTGAACTCGCAGTAATTGCAGGCAGCTGGAAGCTAAATACTACCTTTAACAGTAGCATTAGTCTGCATTAGTCTGCTGCGCCACTCAGGCTCTTTTATATTTTGGTAAACAAATTTTTTAAAAAATCGAATGATAAAGAATCATGTGGTAGTACTAGATCTAGAAATGGAAATGGATAATCTTATTTTTCAAGCATGGAGACATACAGATGTCAAAGTTGTGCTGGAACGTTGCATGGACTTCATCGACGAAAGTCAAATCAGTAATCCAGGTAGTCCTCGGCTTACAACCACAATTGAGCCCAGAAATTTCTATTGTTAACTGAGTTATTTGTTAAGTGAGTTTTACCCCCATTACCTGTCTTGCCTCAGTTGTTAAGTGAGTAGCTGCAGTTGATAAATTAGTAATTCGGTTGTTAAGTGAATCTGGCTTCCTCATTGACTTTGCTGATCAGAAGCTTGCAAAAGGGGATCACACAACCTTGGGACACTGTAACTAACAAATAGGAGTCAGTTGTCATGTGTCTGAATTTTGATCACATGACTATGGAGAGTCCACAAAAGTTGTAATCGCGAAAAGCGGTCCTAAGTCTCTTTTTTCAGTGCCGTTATAATTTTGAACGGTCACTAAATGAACTGTTGTAAGTCGAGGACTACCTGTACCATCTAAGTGGTTGTCAGACTGTTTTGGTCAGTGATGTTGGATAGTCTATAGCAGGGGTCTCCAACCTTGGTAACTTTAAGACTTGTGGACTTCAACTCCCAGAATTCCTCAGCCAGCTTGAATTGGAGTCCACAAGTCTTAAAGTTACCAAGGTTGGAGACCCCTGGTCTATAGCTCATATTTTCTAGCTCAGTCCCTCTTGCTACTAACTTAACAACTTCCAGTGATTCACTTAACAACTGTGGCAAGAAAGGTGGTAAAATGGTGCAAAATTCACTTACCCGTATTTTTTCAGAGTCTAAGATGCACCGTACTATAAGATGCTCCTACTTTTTTTGGTGAGGAAAAGAAGAAAAAGAAATCTGCCTCTCCCTCCCAGCAATTTTGCCTCGCTACAGCAAACAGCCTATTTTACTTTCATTTTTGTTTTCAGCATAGCTTGATTAGCACAAGAAGAAAAAAAAAATCTGCTCCCAGCAATTTACCTCCCTGCAGCAAGCAGCAGAGGCCCGTGCAGCGATAGGCAATGGCAATCCCTGCAGCTTGAAACAGCTGAGAGTCGGGGACAATCAACTTGTGCTAATTAGGCTGTGCTGAAGTTGAAATGGGATGTTTCTTCTTGCTGCTTGCTGCAAGGAGGTAAATTGCTGGGAGGCAGAGGCCAAAGGGTGGGGACCAGTGGGTGGGAGGGGCTACATTCGCTTTATAAGACGCAACCAAATTTTCATCCCCTTTTAGGAGGGAAAAAGGTGCGTCTTATACTCCAAAAAATACGGTAGCTACCATCTCACTGAACAGCAGAAATTTTGAGCTCAATTATAGTGGTAAGTCAAGGTATTCCTGTAATTCAGGCTAGCTCTTTAGTGAACCTTAATTGCTAGTTTGGTATAGAGCAACTGAGAATGTGGAGGTTGCACAGTTGCATAATATGCTCTCATAATTTACAACAAGCCACGGACCTATTCCACATTTTAAGAACACAGAGTAGTCATTGTGATATTGTAAAACCTCTGAGTTCATCAGCTGATTCCGTGAGGAATTCCACTGAAATTCCAAGTTTATTCCACAGTCTTGTCTATGTTTATCTTGTGACAAAATCCCCCCCCCCCAGGGCTGTTGGGCTATCTAATATTAGAAATGTTTTGATCTTTCAAGGAGCATTGAGCTGGAAGTTGGCACAATGCCATCTCGATCATTTGAACATCACATAATGCTCGACAAGGCCTTTCACTTTCGTAACATGGCGAAATAGGTGGCAAACAAGTCTAATAGGAGCCTGGTTTAGCTCAGCAGACTAAAAGCATAGTGATTAACACCAGCTGTCTGCAATTACTGTAAGTTTGAATCTCACCAGGCTCAAGGTTGAGTCAGCCTTCCATCCTTTCTAAGGTAGGTAAAATTAGGACCCAGTTTGTGGGGGCAATAAGCTGACTTTGTATAAATATACAAAAGTATGAAGGCTATTGCTTAACACATTGTAAGCCGCCCTGAGTCTTCGGAGAAGGGCGGCATATAAATCAAATTTAAAAAAAAATAAAATAAAATAAACAGACAAATCAATCATCTTCTTCTTTTAAGGTGGTGTCTGGGCAACTGAACGGAGCTAGCAGAGTGTTTTAATGGCCGGATGCCTTTCCTGTCGCCAATGCAGAGTTTTGTTCAGCAGATATATTCTCATTGTGCCCAGAGAGAGAAATATTTGCCTCTACCTAGCATCGAACTCACAGCCACCTGATTGTGAGGCAAGAGCTCCACTTCTAGGCCACTGCACCACTCCAATAAACAGACAAATCAATAAATGTATTACCGTGTTTCCCTAAAAATAAGACCGGGACTTATATTAATTTTTGCTCCAAAAGATGCATTAGGGCTTATTTTCTGGTTAGGTCTTATTTTTGGAGAAATACGGCACTAAATGCATCCATCTGGTTGACAATCTTAATGGGGGCTTATTTTGGGGGTAGGGCTTATATTACGAGCATCCTGAAAAATCATGCTAGGACTTATTTTCTGGTTGGGTCTTATTTTGGGGGGAAAAC